TTTTTTTTTTTTTTTTTGATAATTTACAGTAGATGTGATATTTTAAAGTCTTCAAAAACGATAAGATGTTCAATTATTTTTGACTCAGTTAATTCAATAAAATATAATTTTTTTCTTTCAAATTGATATCAGCAGAAAAAAGTGAAAATGAACTAGTCAAGAAAATTGAACCATGGTTTAGAAATCTACGTCTATCTCAGGTTATACTGATAGCTTCACACAGTATTTTAAGCTATTGAAGAATATGAAAAATAAAAAATGAAGGAAAAACAAAAACAAGTTATTGCATATGTTTATATTTGGGTTTTCTTTTGCTGTTGCTGCTGCTTCTTCACTTTAATTCATGTATTATGTTCGTTGTTTACGAAACAAAAACGTGTCTGAAAAGCCGATTATACTCCGCAAGAAAATAATTCTTTTCAGATTAAACAATTATTAGCAGATTGTACTTGACAGGAACTGTTAAAAACGAAAAAAAAAGTTTTTTTTTCTTTGCAACAAACATCATATTCAGTTGATTTTTAAAGAGAACAAAAATTATTACAAAAAACCTAAGTAAAGCCTCAAAAAAAGCCATATTTTTTCGCATCTAAGATTAATACCAGGACCACTTTTGCTAAAGAACTGCAAAAACTGCGGTAAAAAAAAACTAAATATGAATTTAAAACTTTAAGCTTTTTTAGATTTCAAGCATCTGCATGACTAGGCATTAGGTTGAAACTGAACAGAGTTATTTAAAACCCTCTTTTTTAAAGCCAAAAAATTAGACTAAAATTTTAAGGTAAAAGATACCAATTGTAAACGAGCAATCTTCACATTTCTAAGCTAACTAACTGTTCCACAGTTTGCTAATAGAGCATTATTATTCTTCAAATTATACTTTTTCAAATTTTATGCAGTTGCGCGTAATAGTGACTTGTCTTGGGAAAATCTCTGTGCTCAAATTTAAAAGCAATAACGCTTTCAAAACGAGTGCTAGAGCTAAATTACTATCAAATAACATTTTAGCAGTTAAATTTTGAATTTCGTTCAGATTTTGTAGTCAACAGTGTTAGCATAAAAGTTTTGAGCATTACAAATAGATATTTCAGCTTTGCCGTCACAGAAGCTGCTTCTTTTGCTTATTTTGAACTTTTTTTTTTTGTTCGATGCGTTTGTTTTACTGAATCAAACATTCCTAAACCATTCACATAGAAACTACTGAAAATTGACAAGTTTATTATTCTACAAAACTAACAGCATAAAGAGTCGTATTTGAGGTAATTGAGAAATTAATATTTGTTTTAATAAAGCAGTAATAATTTGACTAAACTGAACCCACTGAACAGTAATCGTTACGCTGAAAAAGCATTAAGCAAATATAGGTTTTTGCTGCATTACAGTTTCTTTTCGAGAACTAATAATACATTACTTTGTCATAAAATAATTCTCAACCTTTTGTCACTTAAAAGTTCGGAACATTTAATTTGGAATTTTGACAGTTTTATACCGTAGAGGTTATACAACATTTATTTTTTCAATATCGTTTTGACGTTTTATCCCAGACTGGCTTCTTTTTGGAAGTATTTCCCAGTTTAATTTTGCTGTCTCATAATTTTGAACTGTGTCGATGTCAACGAAAACAACTAAACTATTGGAAAACCAAACAAAATTTATGAACAATAAATGATTATTTCGTCAATATGCATAGAAATTTAAAATGAAAACTTGTTAATTATAAATATGCCGATTGAAGTTTTAAAAAGCAAAATTAAGAAATTTCAAAAAAAAACAGAGGCTTTTAGTTAGCAAATATACCAAAAAATAAAAACGGTTTAAACGGTTTATTTAATGTACTCTACTATACATCTCTCGCTGTTGACTGTTTTATTAGTCTAAAAGGTTCCAGCTATTGGTTAGTGATAAACATTTGCTTAATTTGTTAATGTATTTGCAACTTTATATAATTTCTATAACGTTTTGTAAAGATTTAAAAAATTGAATTCCAAATAAATCTGTAGCTAACTTAAACAAAATAAAAAAAAAACTGCTAAATCTTCTCAACTGTGTTTTAATAATCTTGTACAAACTCTTAAGAAACCTTTAGTTAGCAGTTAACCTCCAATGCTGGTAAATTTGATGCCTAAAATAAACTATAAGTAGCAGCTTCATCATTTAGGTATTCAATTAAGTTGCATAAATTAAGTTTGAAAAAAAAAAAATTATTATAGTGATTTAACCCCAAAAATCGAATTAATTAACTGTAAAATCTTAAGTCAGATACTATAACAATGATACTAATAATTGATTACGCAACAAGCAAAGTTTTTTGAATTGCTTAATCTGTTTAAAATTGTTAATTGAATGTAATCACCCAACGAATGATAACGAGTCTTTTCTTCTTTTCCTTTTTCCCTTTTTTTGTTTTAACATAGAGAAGAATTTGTCGAATCTGAGAGAGATTTCATTGGTAGTAGAATTTTGCTCTTTTTTTTTTTTCCTGAAACTTAGCAATTACTTCGAAATAAAATATTGTTATTTCTAAACGAGTTTTTTTTTTTTTTTTTCGTTGGACAAATATTTTGTAATTTCTCTGCTCCAAAAAACGCGGTAACATAATTTGATTGATACGGCACCTACAAACACCAATTAAAAAAAAAAAAAAAAAA